ATGGCGACAACAGCATCATCGGTGAATGTTAGTCTTGATGACATCGATCTGTCCAGTCTCAGGGTGAGTACTATTTCCTGTTTCTGTTTAAATGAAGACTTAGGACTGTATGCTAAAATTAAATATCGTTGTTATGTTTGTGTGCATAGTTTCAAGGCTGAAAACCCTATACAAAAGTTCTGCTTGTGTCGGAAGTAGGCTTATTTTTAGATCTGACAACAAAGCAGTGTCGTCTTACGTAAAGATTTTCTCTTCACTCCGTGACACTTTCTATAATACTTTAGCATTTACACAGCTCACAGTGTTTATTATTTAACCTTTTTTTTTATCTATCAGCATAATTTGCACTTTCTTCTTGTGTCCTTTACCCCCTGAAGGAGCCTAGACCCTCAATCGGTTGGCACCAATCCCTTTTTAGACTTGGCCAGTTAGTTGACTGAGATACGGCTGAAGATTTTAACGGAATGGGGAGCCAATCCTAAGCTCAACCCTATCACTAGTCGCTTCTTACGACATGTTTGGTAGAGTGCAATATTACTGTTATTTACTTCTATCAAGCACCTTGGTGACACACATATTTGTTTGCCTTTTCGCGGAGGCAGTTAAGAATATGGTTTAGTATACTCAACACACTAATAATATAGGTCAATAAAGAAAACTGTTAATGCTATGTGGTATGTTATGGAGTATAAGGTGCTAACTAGCCTCATGTTTTGACTAATGGGCCTTATAGATAAAGAGGTCAGTATAATGCTGGCTGCTTGTACTTCCAGTGTAACTTTCAATCACCCAGTTTAGTCTGCGTCAAATTTGGCACCCTTGGTCCTCTTCTTCTTTGCGTTTACCAGCTGTCAAATCCAACAAAATGTTCTGGTTGCTCTACCACTTCTGGACTCTAGTCCTGTTCCAGAAAATGAGTGTGCCTTGCACATCCATTTCAAAGGTCTAACAAATTTGCATGCAGACTGTTAGTTCCTTGACTCGCAGGCAGGTGTACTCTGACTTCGAAGAAATGGCAATCTTGGTCAGTAGAAAAAAAACATCCCACCTCCAAGGGTTTTGAACACATACCGACTGGACTGGCGTGCACACATACTACCCGCTGTGTTACAGCTGCTTTCTTTAAGATATTGTTAAAGTTAATATTTTTTTCTTCTAAAAAATAGGTATACTTTTTTTTTTTTTGTAAAGTTGTTTTTGAAACTTACAGAATCTATATCCGTAATATCCAACAATAATATAAAAAAAAAACAACACACAAAGGTTGGTGTGTGGCATATAATTGGGAAAATGTTTTTATGTTTATATCTGGGTCATTTTGTCTGTAGCAACTGCGATAAGGTGATTAAGTTAACAACTACATCTTTAAGTGATAATTTTGCCAATTTAACATGAAACAACATATTCGATAGGCAAGGGATGTGAAAACATGAAATCATGTGGTATCCCATTCAAGTTTCTACATGGATCTAAGCAGGCATATAATTAATTTAATTTCCATGAATGTATTGCCATGAAAATCACTAAAATATATATCTAACATAAAGTTATAAAAAGCTGGTAATGTTTTTGAAAGTCAGGAGAAGTTGTACCATTCACTGTTAGGGGGCAAGGGTCAATTCTGAGCCTTGTTTTTATATATATATATTCTAGGAACAATATTTATTTGAAAACTCTTTCCTGTGGAAAACCTTACTCTAAAGGTATCTGGTTTACCCTTATACTGTGGTCCTGGCAGTTCTATTCTCAAGGTAGTAGGTGAGCCATCTGTATTTTATCACTGGCATCTTGAGTTTTGTATGTGTTTTTTTTTAAATTACATTAAATAAATAGTAGACACCTCCTTTATCCTGCATTATCTTAGTAGCCACCTTCCTTATCCTGCACTCTGTGGGTTATTTTCAACATCAGTATGTCTGTGTTTTCTGAATCATACTTTTATGGAGTTAAGAGACTTCTACTTTTTCTCCTTCTACCTTGTATCCCTCATCGAAATAGCTAGCTAGTTAATTAATCAACAGTTTATTCTCATTGCACATCAGACAAAGCCATAAGTGCTCTTATCCCATCTTCAGTATATCCCCCAGAATGTGGTGACTGATAACACCAGTTCTTTGTTGCTTTACTATTCTTCTTTGGCTACCTTATAGTGTTCATGTTTGATGACACCTCTTTTGACCTGAAATTCTTGTAGTCTTTTGAGTGTTGCAGATTCAACCTTATCTCCTGAATCATCTTCTCATTTAGCCTTCTTGAAAGCGTTGAGAATGTCGGCCCTGTCCATTGCTTTTCTTGTGCCTACCATGGCCCAGCCAGCAAGCCAATCCACTCTTGCATTCCCTTTTACCCCAGAGTGCTCCATCACAAAAATTTAACTAATTCCTTTCGACAAGATTTCGTCAGCTACTCTAACCATTTTCTTTGAATCTAACTTGTCTCTATCTTCTTAAGCATACTTATAGAATTACTTAGAAAGCATGCATGGGAAAAATGCTCATCGAGTATAGTTCCTAACCATCTCATGCCAAGTCATCCTGTCCTTTGATGGTGCATGCAGCTCCATTTCAAAAGTTTTAGTATGCCATTTCCACAATGAAACTTAGCTATCTTTAGAAATATTACAAAGTGAAAACCCCATCTCTTCCACGGTGAGACTCTTGTACTACTGTGGGAAGCCACCACAGCAGTCTTTATCTTAACCACCTGATGCAGGAATAGAATTCTGCATGAAATTGTGAAACAGCTGAGCTTTTACTTGCTAATAATTTGTTTTTGTTCCAGGATCCAGCAGGGATATTTGACCTTATAGAGGTTGTCGGAAACGGCACATATGGGCAGGTGTATAAGGTAACATCAGTGTAATTGTCCTCAACATAAAAATCATCATTATAAATGTCTCTTTCATCATCTGTATCATCATCCAACTTTACTAGTGAAATTTTAATTGTTACTTGATATTGTTATTCTTGCTGTATTTTCTTCTCCCTCTTCTTCTTTTGTTCATTTCAAATACATTATCTATATCTGCAGTGTTGTCTCTAGTAGGGCTGTACCGAATAGTGATTTTCACTTTTCGGCCGAATACAAATAACGGGACCAACTATTCAGCTGAATACGAATAGTGTATAGTGTATACAATATATATAAAAAAAAAAAAAAAACACATACACATTCATAATGTCAAATGTACGCTGAACATTTACTTCACATAAAGTAGCACAGAATAGTCATCTTCTTTAGCATTCTGAGCCCTTGAGGTTTACTGCTGCAGATAGCACTCGTCTTCATTCATTTCTCTGGCTGGCCTTATCTTCACAATTTGTGACACCAGTTGTTGGCACGTCTGGCTGGACATTATCTCTCAAACTTCTTTTTTGTCTGCCTCGTGGTCTACGCCCATTCATCTTTCAGGTGTATACAGTTTTTACTTCTCTGTGATCTGACATACTTTCAATGTGCCCCAACTATTTTAGTCTGTTAGCTCTCATGATGCCAGTGATCAATAGTGATTTAAACAGGTTATGTGTTTCGTTGTTGCTTCTCAATCTCCATTCCCCGCTCTTAGTATCTTTGATGGGTCCAAAGATTTGTCGTAAGACTGTTTTCGAAAACCTGTAATAAAGCCTCATCTCTTTCATTTGTGCTTTAAGTTTCAGAGCCAAATAAAACGACTGTTCTTATCAACGTTTTATATATTTTGATCTTGGTGTTGCGAGACAGACGCTTTGACTTTAGCAGATGTTGAAGGGCATAGTATATTTTTTTTTTAGATTGTATTCTAGATTTTATTTCTTCTCTCAGCATGTTGGAGCAGTTGAAGTTTGCACCCGAGTACTTATATGATTCCGTTCGTTTGATTTTCATATTATCGACTTGGATGTGGCTGAAGTTTATTATATTCTTTCCATGTCTAGTTAGTATTCGTACAGAATAGTAAACATTTAAAAATATTTGTTTTACATCCTTCAGTCAGTCTGTGGTAACTAATAACTAGGAATGTGTTTCTCTTGGCCAGAAGTGATGTATTGTATTTGAGACAGTCCTGGAGGTAGTGATCTGTTGTCTTAGCTGCCAGTTCACTGTGCACCTGGTTGATTCGCCATTCTTAAAATGTGTGTACATGTGGCTGGGAAGTCCATTGTGCACTGTTCTAAGGCCTAGAATAATGACTTGCTGTGGTCTATCCATAATATGTTTATCATCTTGTGTTGGTTTTGGTAGCTTTCTGATTGATTTGATTATTATATTCTTCCTTTGATAAGAGACTGGTACATCAGGTTGTTCTTTATTTGCACTTTTCTTGGCTAGTTTATCAGCTGTCTCATTTCTGGAAACTGCACAGTGGGATGGTGTTCATTGCATAGTTACCTTACACCTGTAGCTTATTTTAGAGAGTAGTGTCCGTATGCCTGGTAATTTCTCAAAGTGGAGCGCCTGATTTTCCGCTTTTGCTTGTGTCAGAAATTACATAGGTTGTGAAATATGACTGGTATTTAGCCCTTTTTTGGGGGAGCTGCTATCCAGGTGGCTTGAACTTCTGCATTGTATTTGTGACAGTGCTTTCCTGTTGGATTCTATGTATTCTCTTGTGTCCTAATTTGTACACATCCCAGTTAATTTACTCATAGAAACAAATTTAGTTCATTACAAATAACAATGATATAATCAGAAAATCCAGATATCTTACCATTTTAAAAGTGTGTGTGAAACTTCATTTCTGACTGCTGTTGATGTTTTGCAAAAGTCTGCAGGCTTTTTCCCCTTGAATTAAAAATTAAAAATTTGTCAATTTTTTATTTCCAACTTCAGCATGTTTTCTTGATGAGATACCATATTTTTGCTATCTAGCTATTGTACTTTGTTTTGAGCTGTATATTTGTCATGTACCGCTCGTGTCACGTGCCTGTTTAAGGATGTCTCATAAGAACCAACAGCACTCTGAAATAGTATAATGTTGAGGTGTCGGCTCTTATTGGTCTAAAGAGTATCCCGCGGCCAATATACTCCCAACCTATTTCAGGAGTAGGGCAACTCAAGCTATAGCACTACAGATTATATAATATTCCTAGGCTCAACTTGGCTGGACGTCCCCACTACTATAAGAAAATAGCCCCCAGGTTATGATAATATATTATCATAGCCATGTTACAACATATTAAGATTACTGGTTATACATACATATACTCTAGACATTTTTGAACAGTAAATGATGGACACTCAGGTCAATAATGAAAACTTCCAAAGGCATGTAATAAATGCAACACATATGATATATAAGACTCAAGCAGATATTCAAGAACAACTGGAATAATGAGAGATCAAAACCAAAGCAACATTGATGGATCCTCGAAGAGTCTCCTAGAGACAGTCTGGGTTCATCATGGTGAAGAGGGTACTCTGGTATAATGTTTGTCCTGGTGGCCTGGAACAACTGTCTCTCACTCACTGGAGCCCAAACAAGCTCCTGAAGAGGGTACTCAGGTATAATGTTTGTCCTGGTGGCCTGGAACAACTGCCTCACAGTCACTGGAGCCCAAACAAGCTCCTGAAGAGGGTACTTTGGTATAGTGTTTGCCCTGGTGGCCAGGAACAACTGCCTCACAGTCACTGGAGCCCAAACAAGCTCCTGAAAAGGGTACTCTGGTATAGTGTTTGCCCTGGTGGCCTGGATCAACTGTCTCTCACTCACTGGAGCCCAAACAAGCTCCTGAAGAGGGTACTCAGGTATAATGTTTGTCCTGGTGGCCTGGAACAACTGCCTCACAGTCACTGGAGCCCAAACAAGCTCCTGAAGAGGGTACTTTGGTATAGTGTTTGCCCTGGTGGCCAGGAACAACTGCCTCACAGTCACTGGAGCCCAAATAAGCTCCTGGAAAGGGTACTCTCTGATTAATGACAAATGGGTGGCCTGTAAGCTGATGCCTACACTCTAGCTTCCACTTTGCTGTCTGCCATGGTGATGGTTTGGTAGTTGGTGATTTTGTGGACTGCTGATTGACTGCCTGGCCTCCAAGGAGATATCATCCTGTGTCAAGAAGGAACTCAGAATTAGTAGTCATCTCAGAGGCCACATGCCCAGCTCATGTATTTACCCTCCACACTTAGCAATTACTCAGAGGACAGCTCTCAGGATAAAGAGACAGTTCAAGTCTCCATGTATCTCTATTGATCAGTCAGTAAAAGAGATAGGAGATCAGTTCCACAATGGAGACAGATCGACTCTCTTAGACAGAGAACATCATATCTCCACATTCACATCTGCACTTGTAGTCACACAGACCACAACTCTCTCACATATGTATATATTATTTTCCACCGACTGACCGGAGTCGACCCTGTGTTATGTTAGTGTCGGCTATAAATAACCCCTGACGTCACTGTGTGTCGCTCACTGTGCGAAGAAGCTTTGCGTTGACCCAATTAAATCTGCCGGCTTCTCTCGATCCAATTCCCCAAACTAGTTAGTTAGAGAACGAGTAGCTTGCTAGATTAAAACATTTACATTAATATTGGGTTAGTGAGGGCACAAACTCTCAGCTTGCGAAGGGAAAGGTTTGGTTAAAGCGGCCGTGAGTACTTGGACACGAAGAACGGTCTAGTTTTGTAATGTCTCATAGCTGAATCATTCCTCTCTTCAGCAGCAGATTAACTATATAAATACATAAATCATGGTACTTGTAAACTATAATAGACTTACCCAAGCTATGTGAGGTATAAATAGACATGATGGAATATATACCCACTGGACGGGTCTATATTTGAAATGTGTCCTGCCCGCTAGGGGCATTAACATCACAAATAGTCTAATGTGTAGGGGTGGGTTTGGCCATTCCACGACAATATTTTTATGTCTTTTCCATGGCATTTCACCGCTAACTTCCTCAGATAAGCTTAAAAGTGTATACAGATTAGCTCATTATAGCTTTTAAAAACCCTCTTGTTTATATAACCAGATATGCAGATGTATAATGTTTGTGTTTTCATTGTCTCATTGATTTACTTAACTTGCAGGGGCGGCACACAAAGACTGGACAGTTAGCTGCTATTAAAGTGATGACTGTCACTGAGGTAATATTTAGGTGTAAAATCTGATCACATTTGTATTGTTATTTCTTAGTGACGCCTTTTTTCCTTTAACATTTCCCCAACCATCGAAAATGGATGCCATGAACTATTCTGAAAATTAATGGGTAGTAGCAAGATAATGACGGCATCACCCAACAAGTGGCTTTTCCTCTTCTTCTTCATATTAGCATTCACCGGCTCTGAACTCTGGTGGAAATTTTGGGCTGTTAATTTCTTTCTGGGCTTTGGTCTTGTTCCAGAACTTAAGTTTTGCATGCATTTCCATTTTACAGATCTAGCACTTTTGTATGCAGACTGTTGGGGCTAGCACCATATATCCAATAAATGTCAAGATCTGGAAAAGGGTTCTTTACTTTACTTTCTACAATCTACTTTTTAATATTGTCCATATCTTTCTCTTTTTTTTTTTTAAAACTCACTCTACCATCATCTTCTCTGTAATATCTCATTGTATACATTTAAAAAAAAAATCCTGCTCTGGTTATTTGTAATACTATTATTTTATTATGACATTATTCTTTTTCTTGATCTTTACTAATTGCTACATTCTACTCTACTGCAGTGTCATTTGTTACTATCTTTTTTTTTTTTTTTTAACTTTTTCTGTCATCTACTTCCTTGTCATATTACTTTCATTTTCTGTCGTCTGCTTTGATGATAGTGTGATGGTGGTTATGGTGTTTGTGATGATAATAAAGATAGTAGTGATCTTGTCTAGATGTGACGTACTTAACAAACATTCAGTTAATGAGTAAATAATTGTTTTTTCAGGACGAAGAGGAGGAAATCAAACTGGAAATTAATGTGCTTAAAAAGGTGTGTGAGTTAACATATATGTCAGTAGGTCTCATTGATGTTATCATAAAATATGCTGCTTCTTACTGCTTTTGTGTTGCTGCTGGTCTAGAGATCTGTTGTTGACGATTGTTGTAGGAAGTGATTGTAGCAGGTGTCTAATGAAGTTTTATGATTTTCAGTTTGAAGATTGTTGCTTGTTATATATGGTTAAAAACTGACAGACATGATGTCCCCCTTGAGTGCTAGAGGTTCCGGGTTTAATCCCCGGTAAGGGCTGGCATTTTTTAAGTGGACTTGGACTTCTAGTAATTTCCCCTGGTCTCTGGGTAGTGAGATCAGACGCCTGTTTGCATTGTTGCGCATGTAAAAAATTCCTTGGCAGTTGGAAATTGAAGAGAAAAAAAACAACCTAACAGCGCTGCCCGGGCAAAATTTGGAGTTACAAATCTACCCAAAGTATTTCAGGATCCTCGCTACAGTGACTGCTGAGCTTCTTCAGACAGACTTGAGTTAGAAGAAGAATAGAGCACTTATGTGTTACTTACTACCCATGTGCCATGATGTTGATCCATTGTTTTAAAAAAAAATTGTTTGTTAAAGTCATGTACACATTTTGGCTCAACATTAATTATTAAGGCTGGGTTTTAGGAACATCTGCACAATTGGCACAAATAACTAAGTTAGCCCAGGTAGCAGGAAATAAAGAGAGCCCATCTGGATATATTAGGATTAAGTGAAGTAAGAAATCTCAGGTGAGCATTGATGAAAGAGGCTAAAGGTGCTAGACAATTCCATCCATGATATTGAAACAGTTGCACATAATTGAATGGAATAGAATAATAAACTATAAGCCCTATGTGACATGTAAATGGCACATGATAATGAGGTACTAATTCCTGAATCCCACTTTTAGGGACAACTCAACTCAAATTTTCAGGAGTGCAGAATGTAAATCTCTATATATGTAAATGTTAAAGTGTTCATCAGTGGAACACTGGCAGAAAAAAAAAGACATTGAATTCCATGCGAACAGATTTAGCTGTTTATCATCACACCTTTTTATGGGTTTCATTGGTAGTTTCTTCTTTAAAACCAAATAAATAAATCAGTGCATTTTTTGCCATAACCTCAAACGCATGGTAACAAAAGCACTAACTAGGCTGGGATTGTGAAGCTAACTTAAAATATGCTCACTGAAAGTCTCATTTAGCACTAGACATTTTTAGAATAATCAAAGTAGTCAAAAACATGCATAGTCAACTTAAATCTTTGTGCAAGGATCTATGGGAGTTAAGTGTAATGAAGTAGGAGTTAAGAGAAATGAAGAGATCAAAAGCTGACTAGGTTGGCACCTGTAATGCAAAGCCAGGTATGGATTGAGTGGATATACATGTTCAGTATCTTGAAAACGTTGGCTACAATAGAGCTATAAAGTGAATGATCAGAATTGCCCATAATGTGGGAACTGAGAGTTCGGTTTGGCACAGCCCAGAAAGAATGCAACAACAAAAAACACAAAGAGTGCAGTCAGTCAACACCAGACGGTACAGTCAATGGTTTAGACCAGGTTTTTCCACTTGTGTTAACAGAGCCTGGTGTCACTTGAAGAGATAGATTTCTTCTTCTTCTTCTTCATGTTCACCGGCTGCAAACTGCAGTGGAATGTTCTGGTTAAATGTTCTCGTTTTACAGATCTGACTTATTTGTATGCAGACTGTCTGGGTTCCTTGCCTCTCAGGCAGGTACACTCCGACTTCAAAGAAAGCCCCCAATTAGTTGACTGTTAGGTCATGCTTGTTAGGGAGGCAGTGAGTGTTCTTGTTTCCTAAACATGGGGGGCTCAGGAGAAACAGATTTAAAGCACCTGTGATTTCATTTACTAAACTTCAAAAATAAGAGGGATTCACAGGTGGGTTTGTTAAAATGAAGATTTAGGCACCCTTGTTATTCTTGGAGTGCAATAATAATAGCCAGACTAATAACCAATAAATATATTATTTGACTTACATAATGTTTTTGATTTTAGTTTTCAAAGTTTATACCTTTTTTTCTTTTTCTTGGATAAACTTTTCTTTCTCTGTTTGGTTTATATGTTGTTGTTGTAGAAATGAAAATTAATCACATCCGCCATATTTTTGGCTTTTCACAGTTCTCCAACCATCGGAACATTGCCACCTACTATGGAGCTTTTATCAAAAAGGTGTCTGCAGGCAAGGATGATCAACTTTGGGTAAGTGTATTTTTCATCGCCATCATCTTCACTTCGGCATTTAGCAGTTTGGGGAGGAACAGTTTGCTGTCAAGTGCTCAGTAGATAGTACTGGCTGTTGTAATAATGTCTTAAATATCATGAGTCCATTTGTTTTCATTGAGCACCTTATGCTCTCATATAAGATTTTCTTAGATGTAGTGAATATGTTGGTAATTGTTGTGGCTGCATTCTCAAGAAGTCACCAAATCATTTGATCTTCTGTACATTGTTTTATATACTATTTTTTTATTAGGTAATTAAGAATAATGGGGGGGGGGGGGGGGGGGGGGGAATCTTCTATGGTGAGATACATGAAGGACGATGTTCTCATGGGGGCCAAAGAAAAAAGCACTTCATGGACACCTTAAAAGCTTCACTGAAAGCCTTCGGTATTAACTCGGACACCTGGGAGGCTGCAGCACAGGACCGGACTTTATGGCACACATATATCCGAAATGGTGCAACGATCTGCGAAGCATCTAGAACAAGGGCAGCTGAACAGCGAAGACAGGACAGAAAAAACCCTCAAACAGGCCTTTTGTCCACAGACACTGTGCCCTCCCCTCATTGTCATAGACTCTTCCGGGCACATATTGGACTTATAAGTCACCTCCGGACTCACAAACATTCATCTGCAGTTTCTTGACGGATGAAAGAAAGAGTGGTCCTTATCACTTGTGGTGGACCAACAAACGATTTTTGCCCCCAACATAAAAAATATGTGTCCATGGTACTAAGCCAAGTCTTGTGCGCGAGGATAGCTGAACTTGAGAGTTGTTTATTCATATTTATGGCTATAGGTCCATATTTAAATTTGATCATAATATATATTTGTTTATGTTAAAGTCTCTTCATGAAATACTAATATCCCGTGATAATTTTAATAACTAACTATTCAGCGTGCTGAAGTTGAAACAAAGGCTTGAAAATGCCTGGGTTAGTGGTCACAACAAACAACATTGTGATGTTTTGTGTATTGTTGTGTCTTTCAGCTGGTCATGGAGTTTTGTGGTGCTGGGTCAATCACAGACTTGGTGAAAGGTTAGTGTGTATTAGAAATACTATTGTTGTCCCTGTTCTATCTTTGCTGTCTGTTACCTTTGTAAGCATAAATTACAACAATTTGTAAGCCATATGGATTGTAAGCTACCTGTGGTTTGAACAATAAAGTTGATGACACAATACTGAGGCTGTACAGTATACCAGGCAACCAACTGGGAAAGCTTACCTGATCAACAAGTGCCCCAAACGGTGAGATGCGTAAGCCAAAAGGTGCAAAAATCACAGCTATTTTATAAACAGTCTGAAACAAATAAAATTGCACAAGAGAAGGAGAAATATATACTGAAATCAGTGGTCTTCTTCTTTTCCTTCTTCTTCTTCTTATTCTTCAGCATTCTGAACCCTTGAGGTACATTGCTGCAAATATCACCTGCCTCATTTCTCTGTTTGGCCTTTTCTTTCCAGTTGGTGACATCAAGTGTTTGCAGGTTTGTCCGGATGTTATCTCTTCGCTGTCTTCTTGGTCTGCCTAGTGGTCTATAACTATTCAGCTCCCTTGTATATACAGTTTTTAACTCTCTATCATTTGACATTATCTCAATATGTGCCAGCCATTTCAGTCTATTAGATCTCATAATGCCAGTGATCAAAGGTGATTTAAACAGATTATGAATTTTGTCGAAATCAATGGTGGTGTCGGCTAATTTGTTGAAAATTCTTAAAAGTATATTATGTCTTTTTAATTTTGAAAATATTTAAATTCTCATCTTTTTCTTCCTATATTTTAGGTTCTTATTTAAGTTTTAACAATATTTATATGGTAAATTGTGTCAGACTTGAATATTAATCCACTAACTTACACGAAACACTTTATACATTTATCAACACGTTATCATTTTCTCCTTCCAGCAACAAAGGGTAACTCACTCAAGGAAGAATGGATTGCCTATGTCTGTCGAGAGATTCTGCGAGTAAGAGCTGCTTCAATCTTGAAATCACTGCAAGCATTATTCTTTTGTGGCATTAGCATATTTATACAAATAAAAAGTCAGAAAAATTCTTGGGGGTTTATCTACGTTTATACAAAATAAAGGGATACAAATAGCCTTATGTATCGTCCATTCCAACAAACAAATTTAGAACTGACTGGTGAAGACAATTTGTTGTATGTATTAAGCTGGCCAAGCATTGAAGTATCCTTGCTCTAACTTTAAAGACAGTGATGTAATTTGAGGTGTTAAGTTCAACCATTATTATAGCTTCCAATTCATCTGTTTGTTTTTGTTGTGATCTCTCAGTACTTGTGTTGTGATTTACTTTTATACTTTGACATCATTGACACCATCTAAATTTCTCCATTTGTAATTTTTTTCCCTAGAGTAAAACTGGAAAATATATTGCATGTTTTACTGTACTTTTTTCCTCTATGTTCTTTTTCTGCTACTATTTTATAATCTTTATCTTAATTGTGTTGATGCTGGAATATATATTGAGAGATCTAGTTGGTGAGTTCCGTCTCTACAGAATCACAGCTTACCAAACTGTTATATTTTTCTGCTTTTAGATTTAACAGAGCATCCTACAAATCCGTTTTGTTGGCACCTTTCCATCTTTTGAGAGTATAGTGTTATATTGTGCTATAGGAAGGCATGGGAGGCATTTCCTGCAGCGGTGGCGAGCATGACTAGCTTGTGTTTAAGTTTCTCCTATGCAGACACCAAGCCTGGGGAGTATTGTAGTAATCATATGTTGCTGGTGCAGCTTGATCCCTCGCTTCGTCTGCATTGTTTACTCCAGAGGAAAGGTAACATCAATATGTTTAGAATAAAGCATGCTGCAGATGCTGCCAAATTAGAAGAGACTTGATCGGTCTGTCCACCTATCTAAATTTCCCTCATAGACCAGGTGAGACTCAAGACCTGGTCTGGCCTGTCATAACATTGTGTTCAGGTTACATGTTCCCTTCCTAGGACACAGCTTATGTCCTCACCTCTGCACTCCCCCACCAGAGGTGTTAGCATCCTTGAACTGGCTATCAGTTATTTGGATCATCAGAGCAATCATTGTTAATTTTTCTCTGACTTCTGGTTAAGATGGCGTGGCAAGTGGGTGTTTATTTTTTTCAGCCAGCCTCTGACTGAGATCAGTTTTGGACATCCTAGAGTGAAAGTTATATAATACTAGTCTGAATGTATTAGTCTAGTTCAAATGTGACTGCTATAGGAAGTTTAGAAACACTGTGACGGTCCCAGCAAACCGACAGTGGTATATTTATTGCACCTAGAAAATTGAGGCGTGTAAATACAGGCAGCAAAGACAGTTAAAAAAAAAAAATTTTCAATGAAAAAGATTATTGAGTAATTCCTTGTGTGGGTTCCTGGGCCCCATTGTGGGGGAAACAAGAATAGACCCACGCCTGCCCAACTAGTATGTTGTGAGACTCCACTAATTGGGGGTTTCCTTCGAAGTCGAAGTGCATCTGCCTAGGAGAGGCAAGAAACCAACAGTCTGCATGCAAATGAGTGAGATCTGTAGAATGGATGTGCACACAACACCCAGGTTCTGGAACAAGTCTTAAGTTGAGAATTGGGTGAACAACCAGAACTCTCTGCCTGTGTTTACAGGAGACTCAAAGAAAAAGAATGATTAAGGTAATGCTTTCTCTTATATACAGAGTAGAATCCTAATAACACTGAATAGTGATGTTGTTTTGCTTATAATTCAATTGGGGACGCAGCACAGAATGTCAGGAAAACACATTGAAAGGTGAACCAATTTTTGATGATGATGTAAATGAGTATGAAATAGTCCTTTAATTAAGTGCAGTTTTGATGGCAGTGATGTGTCACGTGATTGTCAAAGTGTTTGTTGTTGGTACATATATATATATTCGCTTACCATTGTCCCTCTGTGATGTGTTTTTGGTTTATTGCAGGGCCTAGCCCACTTGCATGCCAACCGTGTGATTCACCGAGACATCAAGGGGCAAAATGTGCTACTAACAGACAATGCTGAAGTCAAGCTGGGTAAATACTTTTTCTCTATCTGCTGAGAGTACCTATGTAATGTCTTTTTCTGTTGTCGTCACACTGTTACCAGGCTGTAGCTCTTTGTATGGTTTGGTCACAGACAGTTACATGGTGGCTAGCAGGTGTGTCCTGATGGCACTGGTAAAGATTGTTCTTTGTCTGAAAGCCATTGCAGCAATAAATGTGTCTTGTTGAGGTCCTGACTTGCAGTGCTGTGAGACACTGCCAGTTGCATTTACTTCAGCCACACACTCGCACTCCATCTGTCAGCATTGGTCATTTGCTGAGCCATCTTTAAAAAGCAAATATTGCAAACATACTCACTGCTTGTTCCTTTCGAAAAGTAGGTGATGTGTTCACTATAGTCACACTTGCATGTGAAAAGACATTTCAATAATGTTATCAACAGGCTTTGCCACAGCACCTTTTTCAGATGTGCATTATTTCCCTTCCCACCACATAGATTTGAATGACCTTGGAGGTACACAAACATAACACAGATTTGACATTTATGCAGATTGTGACTGGTACCATCAGTATCTAGGATTGTCTGACTGAGTACATTTGTAGTATTTATTTGTGCTTTAGACCTGTATGTATACTTAAGACTTTTGTACTTTGTTTCTGCCTGATCATCAGCCTGTCCCCATAGATGCATATAGATCGGTTATTTTACCGCAGTTACATAGCTGCTTCTTCTCTTTCTTATCTCAGATATCTCTTTCTTATCTTACTTGTGGCTTTTTTAATAAAAATAATTAAAGGCACATCGGATGCCTAAACCTAGGGTAGACCTATACATGATTAGCACCCTTCCATGTTTCCAGACGATAGTGATTTAAAATCAAAGAACTGAACCCCATCTCTTTGGATCCTGAGGCTACACTATGCAGACCTATACAGAACAAGCTCAGCAAACTGCACAGCTCACCTGTGGAACCATCTTCCACTGTGAATAAAAAATACCTCTAACCCATTTTTTAATATCATCTCATTGTACACTAAATGCTCCCTTCTTTTAGTCATGTCTAAAGCTGCCTTCTGTCTTTTGTCTTTCATTCAATTCTGACACAGATAACCTTCAGTGTCACCACGTCAGACTGTCCAGCAGCTTCTTTCTCAGTCTGCCTTTACCTAATTTCCCGACAACCTTCCTGTCGTCACAGTCTACTTCAGTATTCTCCTTCTCATGACTGGACCAACAAATATAGATTTTACATGCTGTACATGTCGCCATTTAAGTGGCTATCAACGTAGACACTCTAATATTGTTTTATTTGCTAGAAAAATGAATTTCCAATGGACCTGTTTTGAACAACTAGAATTAGCAAAACGAAGTATGAAGCATTTGCATTTTCCAAGCGTGGACAAGTAAGGGGATTAAGTTTCATGTTTTACTCTTGTTTTAATTGAAACAGTGCTTGCAATACAATTTGTTATGTAATTTTCTCTAAGTTGGAGATTCCAGCCCTTAAACATCCACTGTAAAAAGAGTTGAAAGAATTATAAGAAACTCAGGTTTTAGATCTTAAGCAGAGGTTGTTAGATGGAGAAGGAGGTAATTATTGTGATGATTTAGATTCCAACAATATGGGTTGGGAAAATTTGAACAAAATGTTTCAAACGGATCATCTGTTTTGATCAGCAGTTTCTAGTTGTTCTGAAATTTGACATGTCATACAAAAAGTAAAAAAACTCAAAGTATTTAGATTAATTGTCTCAGATAAAGACCAGCTGATGTATAATTGAATAGAGAAGGCATGTGAATTCTTAGAAATGGATAGCAATGTTGTTCATCAAGTAGAAAATTAAGATAAGTGCAACATTTCATGTGTCAGAAATTTTCATATATGTGTCCATCCTTGAATATTGTGTCATTTTAATATTTAGTTGTTGCGATACTGATCCTTAAATAGTTAAGATGTATTCTATATTCGTTTCACTTGAATTTGAAATATTAGATGTCCCTCTACAGCCAATAATTTTCTGTAGGAAGGTATTAAATTTGTCTTGTTGCAGTAAAGAAAAAAAATATATTCTGCTCAAAACTAGTTCTGTCTGAACTCCAGAAAAAATGCTGTTCTGAAAATTTAAAACTGACCAGGACACCAAGTGTCTGCTGCTTCTTCTTCTCCTCTCGTTTCGTTGGTATTCATTATTTAGTGAAATGTGAAAACATTTCATTTAAAAAATATTCTTGGGGAGGTGAGAGGGTTAAGAATAAGAAGGTCATGTTGCTTTTAAGCATGTTAACTATTGTTGTACATGCATTGTGTGAGGAGTTAATGTTTTCTGTTTTTGTTGACAGTTGATTTTGGAGTCAGTGCTCAATTGGATAAGACCATTGGTAGAAGAAATACTTTCATTGGGACTCCATACTGGTGAGATTTAATAAATTAGCACAATTTTTAAAGTTGTACTATAGAACCATTATTGTCCAACTGTGTCCCATATGTAGTATACAGACGCTGCCTGAAAGTCCTCTAAAAGCTTCACCGCTTGATTAGGCTCGAGTGGAGTTGAAACTACATATGTAAGGAGTGGCAGAGTGCCAACAGAGTCTACATTCCCAGGGAGCGAGACTCCTCTGATCTGTCCCAATTCAGGCCTGTCTGGCTGTTGAACTTTGAGGGCAAAATATTCTTCTTGGTTATGGCATGCAGACTCACGAAGTACTTATTGCTAAACAAGTACATAGATACATCAGTTCAGAAAGGGCATCCCCCAGATGCTTTGAGCAAGCGTCCATGATTTGGGAAAGTTCAGAGAACAATCGCAGAGAAGAAAGATCTGCACCTGATTTGGTTGGATCTTACCAACGCCTATGGGTCGGTACCCCACAGGCTATTTATTATCGCAGTCCCTTGACGTTTCACATACCGGCAAGATGATTGCCATGATCAAACAATATTTTTTCTAAATTTGCCTAACGTTTCTCTACCCGCACTTCGAGGTGGACTGAGGGGTGTACGATTTCTCCGGTTCTCATTTTTATGAAGGTTATGCTAGATGGGGCTGCCGGGTGCAGGCGGGGCCTTCAGACCGGGGATCACTGGATGGCACCAATAAGAGCATTAATGAACAATATGACTATAATGACATACAGTGAAATTGATGCACTCATTATTCTACAGAGGTTTGATTGCGTGATCGAATGATGCAACATGCGATTCAAGCCACAGAAGTCAAGGAATCTTTTGATCCCTAAAAGTAAGGTGGTGGCAACCAGATTGGCTGTGGTAAGCAAAAAGATCTCCATGGTTCTAGAGGAACCAGTTGAAGAGTTTCGGTGTGTTTACGATTTGAAGATATCAAATAGGAAGGAAGTCCAGCGTATACATGAATTCGTCCCTGGTGACAGGCCTGCTCGCTATCCAGTAGAGCAGGCTGATCGGGAAGTTCAAGGTCTGTTGTCTCAATTTTCTGTTGATCCAAAGCTCCTCTGGCCGCTGCTGTTGAACGAGATTAGCGCAAGCACAGTTGAATTCCAGAGAAATTTGACTAAAAAGCTCAACAAAATGGGAAAGAGGAAAACGTGCACAAAACAACACAACGTAACGTTTCGGCCAGGCAGCCTTTTTCAAACACAAGTGAAATACACAAACGAGGAATGGAGAGTATGTAGATCTCTAAGGGGTGACGTGAGCGACGTTTAAAAAATGTGATGCGGAATAAATGAAATAAAATAAAATAAACGATGGCTAAAAAATATAGTGGAGTTCTTCCTAACTTACTTATACCTATACAAAAGGTGTTCCTTCTGTTTCACTGTCACTGACTGTAAATTGCAGTGGGAAGAATAAGTTTTTCCAGTTGTTTTATTGTATACATTAGATCAAGTGTACCAGTTAAAAGGACTGTAAGTTTCTCTGTAGTAGTACAAATTTGCTAGTAAATGAGGCTTTTATTATGGTAGAGACTCTCTGTAAAGTATTACAAGCTTGTCAGGTAATAAAAGTGTTTGTATATTTTAAGTTAAGTTTCTGTACAACAACACACACTTGCCAGTTGATGGGATTGTTTTACGGGCAAATTTGTTTCTATAATACAATAGCACAAGCTTGCCAGTTATTTTCACTGTTAGTTAGTTTCTACACAATAGTACAAGCTTACCAGTTAATTGTGATGTTTATAAATTTCTGTACAATAGCACAAGCTTGTCAGTTAATTGTACTGTTTGTACGCTTCTGTATAATAGCACAAGTATACCAGTTAATGCAACTGTTTGTGAGTTTTTGTTCAAGAACACAAGCAAAGAAGTTAACTGTACTGTTCGCAAGTTTCTGTACAGAAGGACAAGCATACTAGTTAATTGGCATGTTAATAACTTCTGCAACTTGATCGGGTGCTCAACTGCTGATCTGTTAGTGACTTTTGCTACCATCCACCATGAACTGCATTTCTAATGTCAGACTGTTTGTGTTGGCACTTCAAATGGCTGACATATGCTTTTAATGTGTGTGTATGCTAGATATGCTGAGACAGCAGTCTGTCAATTTTCCACATGGGACTGTGATTAACATTCTGTGTGTTTTTCTTTGAAATTGGAGCGGAGCAACTATGGGGTGACCCGTTTGCTATGAAGCTGAAACTAAGATTACCGGATAATTTCCTCACAGCTATTAGACCAAATGTAACAGAGCACGGCCAGACTAGAACACAGTTAAAGTGAGATAAATAAGGCTAGGATAAGACAGTTTAAACTGAAACAGGCATACATAACAAAACCAAATAATAAAAGACATTATGAACAGACCATATGTCTGATGGCTCATCTGGTTTATTACTGTTTCAGGATGGCCCCAGAGGTGATAGCATGTGATGAAAACCCTGATGCCACTTATGACAAAAGGGTAAGCCTGTGATTAGTGTCAATCTAAGTAACTAAGTAAACAGTCAAACTACAAGAACATTAAACATTTGCTGGCAAAGAATATTTTGGCAACAAGCTACAGACATTAGAATCAACAGTCATTATTGATTTGTTCTTGGAATTCAATACATCCTACTTAATGTTTGAGTTTGTGTCTAATTTGTGTGGTAATGCATGAGATTACTGCTGTTTTAAATTATATCTTGTTATTTCTTGTTCTTATTTGTTCATCCTAATTTATGTATTATTTGTTATGTTGATTTCTATTTTAGAAATCTCTCTTAATCCCAGGTTGAATCACGCAAGTTCCCTCCTTTCCCATTCATGCTGCTGCCGGTCAAATGGCCAGTCCTATGTTGGGGGAGGGGGGGGGGGCTGTGGTGTTTGTGTGTGTTAAGAGGTGTCTTCACTCGGCGTTAGCTCACCGCATATAATGTTTGTGGGTGGTTGTGCTGTCGTGAGTCTCTTTGAGGCACAAAAGCGCCTGTGTACAAGTAAGAGTACTGCAGGGGGAAGCGCCGACGGCACCAATGTTCATGAGTTAAGTTGAGTCAAAAATTGACATCACAGCACTCGGTGCATTCCCATGCATGCTCCGTCCTCATCTTCAGCAGCCAGCGCAGAGTTCCAGTACGGATGGTACCGGTCACAGGTCACAATCTGGTATCGAGTACCAAAACTATGATGTTTTCATATTTCTATGTTTCTTGGCGGCAGCTTTTTCCCTGAAAATGAAGCCTCTGACAAGGACCATGGAAATAACATCCCGGTTTTGAAATTCACAAACCATCGGACAAGTGGCACAATGTGGAAATGATCATGCAAGTGAGCAGTGACAATATGAGAAAAGAGGGAAACCATTGAAAATAAGGAAACGGTTCCCCCTACCCCACAACAAAAGACATGCCCTGGAACCAGCTGCAACATGAATGGGAGGGGAAGGACTGTTGCCTTGAGGGCAGGTTCATGATAAGTACCGTAAAGATGTATGTTGACCACATCACCCATCTAATGCTGATTGGTCTATAAATATATGGGCATTGCCCTATATGCTTGATGTGCTACAGGCTTGAAAATTGTCCTTAACCCTACCAGACCTGAGGCCCTGAACCTAACTGTCCCTATAACCTGAGCTGGGCATTACCGCGAAAAAACCAACATGATATACAAAAATATTAGTTACATGCACACGAGTGGTTAGAATATGATGAAACTTGGAGACATTGTAGAAAATAGGCTTACCTTTTATCTAGCACCAATATTCCATCTTTGTGTGCGAATTCACTCATCAGGATCAACTTTGTTTCACAAAGTGAACACCAGATGTTGCCGTTTGATGGACACACCCCCTTCTCCTACTATCGATCTATTTCAAGATTTATAATTTTCAAGATTTTCCTCATCATTCGCGCTCTCACTGACAGTATCACTTCGAGAACGTATTCTTTGTGAAATTATCACATATAATGAATATATATATATATCACAGAGTCTGAATAAACCAAAGTAACGCTCACCTGTTGGACTGTGAAAAGCCTAGAACTTGGTTCATCAGCCGCTCGTTTCATTGTGAATTTTAAGAATTTTTTAATGTAAAACAACACAAAAATAATCCAAACACATGCGGGCAGACATTTGCAATGTGTAACAAAGAGGATTGATAACGATTGGGTGGTTATTTTTAGTCCGTGACGCATCGTTTTCCTGTACTACGCAAAAAGTTGAAAATTAGGGCCAGCGGCATAGAGACAGGTTAAGAAATTCCCGGTAAACCGGGCCAGCGGTCTGGTAGGGTTAATTTTGAGGTCTTTCAATTCTCATGTCAGTTTGAGTCTTCATTCCTGTGTTGTGCGTGTTTCTTGTTTATGTCTTGAGACATGTTTGTTATATTAGATGAGTTTGTCATTTCATTCAGTAAAAATGAATGAGCCAGTTTTTCGGCTGCAAAAGCAAAAGTAGTAGGAATACGAGGCATTCTCATGGTCTTATATAAACAGATGGAAAATGTGATATTAGATGAAACAGCATGTGTACTGTTGCATGAACTTAGGATTAAGTCACCTTTAAACATTTGCTGTTGGAGACAGAGCATCTGTGAGTATGCTGGTATTCTATGATGACAGTTCTTAAATCAATAATCGGTAATTTCTTGCTTTCAGAGTGACTTGTGGTCATTGGGTATCACAGCCATTGAGATGGCAGAAGGAAAACCTCGTAAGTATTCTTGTTAAATATTGACTGAACTTGTTCAAAATCAGACATGTTTGCATGCAGTGTCCTTTGGTCAGATTACAAATGAAAACAAAGAGGAAAGGGTTATTGATGATGCTTGACACACACAGTGAGTTGGGTTCAGTCCTTCTTTTGGGCGTAATTGTTTGCTATTTCCATAATTACTGTTTTAAATTTTTTTTTTTTTTCAAAGCCCTGATGCATCTTATTCCTACAGTAACATCTGCTACACTGAGTTACCCTTACCTGTTTATAATTGATGATTTTCTACAGTGTGTGAATGCTTGTGTTTACATACAATACACTTTATGATATGAATGGCCACAGTGTGTGAATGCTTGTGTTTACATACAATACACTTTATGATATGAATGGCCACAGTGTGTGAATGCTTGTGTTTACATACAATACACTTTATGATATGAATGGCCACAGTGTGTGAATGCTTGTGTTTACATACAATACAATTTATGATATGAATGGCCACAGTGTGTGAATGCTTGTGTTTACATACAATACACTTTATGATATGAACACGATGATATGAATGCAGTGTGTGAATGCTTGTGTTTACACACAATACATATGAATGGCCACAGTCAGTGTGTGAATGCTTGTGTTTACATACAATACACTTTATGATATGAATGGCCACAGTGTGTGAATGCTTGTGTTTACATACAATACACTTTATGATATGAATGGCCACAGTGTGTCATTGAATGCTAGACAAAAACAGGGTAATGAATACCAGTATTAGAGAATAGATTGGAACAAAACCATCCCTGAATTAAATTGAAAGATGTAGAATGGTGTTATTTGGCCATCTAATAACAATGCTGCCAGACCAAACTGTATAAAAATGCATTCTTCAGCAGACATCTTGGTGGAAGGTGAGGGGAAGACTATGAAAGAAGCGGATAGATGGCTTAGCTGAAACTTGTAAAAAAGATGAACAAAACCATCACTCAAGCCACCCAAATACAGAAAATCAAGATACTGGGCTACAGCTAGGTAACAATGTGATGAAAAAAGAAGAAAAAAGACGAAGTTCATGAATTATTTACACTGACAGTTTATGAGCTATTTAAATTCTCAGTTAATTTATAAATGATTTCAAGTCACAAATAGCGATGGTTCTGACTCACATAAATGTATGAATGATTTCAGCTCTGTGTGACATGCATCCAATGAGAGCTCTGTTCTTAATTCCAAGAAACCAGCCTCCTCGCCTGAAGAATCCCAACAAATGGTTTGTGTAGTCTTCTCCTTCTACTCTGTCAGGGTTTTGCCTTTCATCATCAGGGTAGAAATCTGGTATATGATTCAAAGCTTTTGATATTCAGTCAACCAAATGTTTTTGAGGAAAATTAACTAGAGAGTGTGAAAACATTGAATCACTTAATTTTTTGTAATTCCATGGGGTTGGTTTCAAACTATTGGACGTAAATTTGCCTAGAAAAACCACACAATAGCCAGGGGCTGTTAGGGTTGGTTCTGCAATGTCCTGTAAAGGATACGCAACTAACAGGGGTTGGTTTAGTGTCAGAGGCCCAAGGGGTAGTCAAGAGAGGCGTAAAATCTGCGCATCTTGTGTTTATTGGGCTTCTAGGTAGGAATCTATGAACATTTGATGCATTTCTCAGGACTCAAAGAGTTTAAAGAAGCTTAAAGGTAGAATCATTTTTTTTCTAATTCTCAACATGTAAAGTGATAGTTAAGCGTACATGGGATATTTAAATACATGCATACTTGCTGATTTAAGCGTAAATATTATCATGTCATGTACATACTACAGAAATGGCCACATGGTTAATTGAACTCTTTCAGTCCCAGGAGATTTAGCATCAGAGTTTTAAGGGGCAGTAAAGAGAAATGTAAAATTTATACCTCTTGCGTTCATTGGGCTTCTAGTAGGCACCTATCAGCGTATGATTTGTTCGTTGGGACTGAAAGAGTTAAGACTGCCATGGTGACGCAATGAACTATGTGATTTGTGTATTTTGGTCAGTGAGACTCACTTTTGTTCTTCACCAGAATTATATATTGTTGACACAAACAGTGGATTGCACAATTTACTGCACAGCATATTTCAGTGCAGTACTAGAAACGCAATGAACTATGTGATTTGTGTATTTTGGTCAGTGAGACTCACTTTTGTTCTTCACCAGAATTATATATTGTTGACACAAACAGTGGATTGCACAATTTACTGCACAGCATATTTCAGTGCAGTACTAGAATCTACATCATTATGCAAAGGAGCACAAAATGGGAATCATTTTGATGCTTAAATCATATTTTCTCTGAATACACTGTACATCTCGCCATACAGAGAAATATGCCAGGCGATAAATTATAATATTTGTGTCCCCGATATTTCAAATGCAAGCCACCATCGTGTAGTGGCTAGATGCTTGCCTGCTTATCCGCAGATAATAGGTTTCGATGTGAATAAAGCCTGACTTCTTTTATAAAAATGGTTTTCACTCCGTGGTCATCCATGCCTTAAATGTGTACAAAGTTAAGTTTGGGGAAGTAAAGGCTGCTGGTGTGGTGTTGACAATATCACCCAATCAAATTTTGATTAGCCTATAAAATATAGGCTTAGCACTGTATGCCCAATATGCCTGGAGGTGTGGACAGAAGTTGTTGTTACATTATCATACAGAGAAATATACCTGGCAATAATGTGTGTAATATATTGTTTTGTGTCCATATATTTTTTAAATTTACGGTGGGGAAAACATTGTTTTGAGCTTCACTTTATGTTGATATAAATTCTGTAGTAGGCAGGCCAAACAATTTCTTGAGGCCTCAGAGATGTGGTTTTACAGAAAAATGCTTAAAATACTTTGGACAGCCAAAAAAAGCAACAAGAGGTTTTGAAAGAGGCGAGAGCTTAAAGAAAACTAATCACAGACATCAGAAGGAGGCAGTCATCATTTGCGGCCATGTTATGAGAAGAGAGAAAATGGAACATGTTGTGACCACTGGAAAGATCTGTGGAAGGAGGGATAGAGGAAGAAAACGAGAGAAGATTCTTGACAGTCTTGTTGCATGGCATGGAGGTGTGTCAGCACACAAACTAATACATGCTGCAGAAGATTGCAGATTGTGAAGAGGCATGATCGCCCACACCAGTTGGCAAGGCAGCTGATGATGATGAAATTATGTTGTACTTACCTGGCAAAAAAAACAATAAACTACACTGAGCAATAAATTATGTAACACAGCATATTGTTTGTGTTTTCAGTCTCTGGCAGTCTTGTTTTTGTTTAACAGGTCAAGTAAATTCCACAACTTTGTTGACTCCTGCCTGATCAAGGACTACCAACAAAGGCATACTACAGAGCAACTGCTGAAACATCCCTTCATCAAAGACCAACCCACAGAGAGGCAAGCCAGGATTCAATTGAAGGACCATATAGACAGACACAAGAAGAACCGTAAGGGTGGGTCATTGTTGTTAGTGCTGGCCTTTCTATCTTTCTGCATCAAAAATAGGTTAAGAAAGTTACGATCACGAAAGTTTGTCACTGTGCTTGCCTCCGTATCTTTCTGCATCAAAAATAGGTTAAGAGAGTTACGATCATCAAAGTTTGTCACTGTTGTTTTTTAGGATAATTGTATCCTTCTGTGTGTTTCTGTGAATTCTTATGAGTATTGAGTGTAACTATCTATCATGTTTATACCCACATATTCTTCTAAGTCTCAATGAGAGCTGCTGACAGAGCTTGTTAAAAAAGGTGGAGACAGTCATGCTCCTTGGGGAGTGACAAGCATCTCTTCGGAGGTTCCAGGTAGTTAGCATCCTTAGGATTTTTTTCTCCAAGGTATGCCGGTGTGTTAGGAATTGAGCAGGAAGGTAGACTAGCCAGTTCTGCACCTCTTGGTGGTAAATTTATGTTAGGTGTTATGAGGGCTTTTTAGGAGCCAGTGAACAGTACGGAGGCACAGATAGATCTTTACGATCTGAGGAGAATGGCGCTGCGAAGAGTTACCAGGGGATCTGGCCAATGCTTAACACTCGAGAGAAAGGCGAGATGGATATACAATCAGACAGTTACTGGTACAAACAGAATTGAAACTCTTTGCTCACTGCTGAAGATAGGGATGGAGCGCGTATGGGAGTGTCCAGAGTGCTATGATGTCAATTCTTAATTCAACATTCAGCAGAGAGTTGCTGTATATCTTCCTAAGTGAGTGAATAATTCAGTCTAGAATTGACATCACTGAACTCTGGACGTTCCCGCGTGTGCCTTCTCTCTTTCCCCAGTGGTCAGGGAAGAGTTAATATGCTAATAGCTACTGTTGCAACTTGATTAAATGTCTGCTTATGTTTCCCCCTGCACTTTGCATATCGTCCAGAACCCCTGCTCACCGCAGCTGAATAATCAGTTTTGCCCACGTAAAATGCTGAAGTAAGTTGTGACAGTGCGCAGACTGAGGGGAAGAAAGGCAGTGAGAAATAGACAAGATGTTAGACAGTTTAATATCGTAGTATAAAGACTGTCAGGGCACGTTAGAACTTCAATACCAAAGACAGACATAATGACAAACACAGCCTAGTATGGACTAAAAGATTAATTTTTATTTTTCAGCTCACTACTCTCTTCGTACATCAGGACAGTTGTTATATTTCTTTCCTGTTTAAAAATATATTCATGTAGTCTGCAGTATTGTAAATTTTGAATTGATGAAGATTTGTTTGATTCTTTGACAAAAGGTGAAGACCATGAGACAGAGTATGAATATGAAGGCAGTGATAATGAGGAGGAGGATGAGAACACCATGCCTGGGGACCCAAGGTCAGTTTCATAATTTTTCTGCTGATTGCTTGTAGTGAGAATACATAAATGCTATTGACACATTTTATCAATCAGCTTTTAGAACATAAAACTAACAAAATTGTAAGAGACAAACACATTTGCTGGACATCAGGAGCCTCTTATGGCAGCTGTGAAACATCACCAGCTAGTTTGGTTCAGGCACATGGTGAGACATAATTCAGTTGCAAAGACTGTACTTACAGGAAAATTTAAATGTGGTGAAAGAAGGGCATGAAAATTTAAGTGTGGTAAAAGAATGGGGAGGGTGCAAAGAAGAACTAGGAATGACAACACCAGGAAATGGACACGGCCCAATTATTATTATTCACTCGTTCAACAAGTGGAAGATGGAGAGAGATGATGGGTTGGTTAGTTAGTTAGTTAGTAAGTTAGTTAGTTAGTTAGCTAGTTAGCTCAGATTGATGTAGCAAAAAGCAAGACTCACACCAGGCACATTAGAGGACTTGTTAATTAAACAGAACTGGTACTATTAGCCACGGGACACTATGGGTTATCATCATTACACTCCAGACATGCCCATAGGTGCTCAGATCCTACACTCAGTATGAACCCTAGTGTCCCGTGGCTAATAGTACCAGTTCTGTTTAATTAACAAGTCCTCTAATGTGCCTGGTGTGAGTCTTGCTTTTTGCTACATCAATCTGAACTCCCAAGTCTGTCATTCTGGCGAGTGATGTGAATCCACTGCCCCAAAAGTCCTCCACCCTTTCCTTTCTCTGAGGGTATTAATTAAATCAGCATGATCCATAGGTGACCCTTGGTTAATGATAGAGAATCCAGTCAACTTATCAGTTCTCTCATTTTCATCAACGCATTTTTTAAGGTATGACCGAGCCCTCCTGATCTTGATCCTTTGGTTCATGGTCGGAAGGTCAAGTAGAGATCTCATTGCTGCACAGGAAGTGTCTCTTGTACATCCCAAATTAATGTGCATGGCTTCATTTTGCACTTTTTCAAGTTGCTCAGTCTGGGTTGCACTGACAGTGTGCATGGCCAGAGCATATTCAGTTCGGCGAAAGAACCAGCCTGTAACACAGAAGTATTAGTCATCTTTGCTTAACATTGGAAGCAGCCATAAAACCCTTATTGCAGATAGACATATAGCAGGTCCTGTTCAGAAGTCGCTCCTATCACAGCAGGTTGGAAAGGAAGTCCCTCTAGACTGGCCTGATTGATTGGCGTGAGGAATAGAGGGGGGGGGGGGGGTCCACCTGTGGACTATGAAATAAAGATATTCACAACGTGGAGAGTGCAGTGTCCCAGAAAACTAACTGGTGAGGCTAACCCAGACAACAAATAACTGCAGAAGTCTTAGTGTCATCTGAAAGGTCCAAACATCACAGCAGTGTTGTAAGCCAACACAAACATTGACCACCTGGGATGAATGAAGAAGAAAACGATTATGATTGACATCATTTCAGTGTTCCCTTAGCTACCAGTAGTTGTTGATAAATTTCTTATCTTCTTATATCATAAATTTTATGTTATCTGTTCGATTATATAGTCATCACCATCAAGTGCCTTGTCGACTGGAATGGGTGATCATGTCTCTCCAGCAGCAGCTTTCAGTTGATGTGCTGGCAGCCTTCAGAGCCATAGCAAAAGGCTATCTACAATCTTACCTTATTCTTTTCCACTCTTGCTCTTTCTTTTGATCTTTCAATTTGCCACATTATGTCCCATTTTAATATTGTGGCCAAAAAATGACTGACTAATTCTAATGTTTGTAACAACTTGACTTAACTCTTTGAGTCCCAGGGGGTTTATCATCAGAAGCCCAAGGGGTGGTAATGCAATTTTGTTATTTCACAAGTGTAGCACATTAAAACAGACATACTAATTCAATTGCCGCGAAACATACACATATTATACATCAAAGTGACCAGGGATTGTTGAGGAATAATTTAAGAAAACAGCTACAACAAATAATTGCGTTAGTAATAAAATATTAGTAAATAAACTGACGGTATGTTTACAAAAATTAGTAAAATGAAACAAACAGTTTTTTACTTACCACCATGGCACTCAAGAAAAACTGGTTAAAATGTATCCAAAATGAATCACAGATGAATATGAACCACTTAGTAATGTATAAGTAAAATATAAGCTCAATCGATACATAAGATTTTGTTCCAGAGAATCTTTTGAAGGATCATAACACAGCACCATTTTTTGGTAAAGAAAAGTGACTGTCAAAACAATAAGTATCTTCACACAAAACAAGGTTTATATAACACTCAATTTGCCTGTAATTTTGTAGCTATGTTCCTAAATAATAAGGGGAATAGCACTAGAACTAACTGACACTGAAGAAAATCGTCTTTTCACTAATGTTTATTCTATTTGTGCCAGCTGACTTTGCTGTCAATGTACCCTTCGCGTGAGGTACACATTAGACATATCCCTCATAAAAGTTTGACTATAAATTACTGAAACACGTCTATTTCGCAACTTTATCTATCTAACTTTGAATGAATCTAAAAAAACATGTACTTTATTTAAATTTTAGGCTTCTAAGGCCGTAAATCATGTTGGCATCCACGTAGAATAGTGCTTAGCGGCCATATTCTTTTTAAAAAAAACTTAGTAACTAGGCGAATCTCGCAAATATACTATATTTTTGGCTTTCAACCCACGTTTCTAAATGAACACGCTTGATATCAGATAGAAAGAACTCGGAAGGAAGTTGAAATTGGGCGGTCCACGTTTTATTACCCATTAGTGGTAGATTAAAAACCTTCACTTGTCACGCGTCGATTGGGCGGCAATATTGAAATAAATCAGCGCGTGATGCGTTTCCTAGGACTCAAATAGTTAACTCCCCATGTGAGTTCCTTGGCCCCATATTGGGCAAACCCACTGCCTTCCCAACAAGCATGTCGTAAAAGTCGACTGTTTGGGTGTTTCCTTTAAAGTCTGAGTTACTCTGCCTCAGAGGCAAGGAACCAACAGTCTGCTTACGAATAAGTCAGGTTCTGGAACAAGTCTAAAGTCCAGATGTGAATGAACAACCAGAACTTTCTGCCGGAGTTTACAGCCCGTGAACAGGAGGAGGAAGAAGAAGACAGCTTGACTTAGCTTCTTTCAGAACAAATGGAATATTTATTGTTGCCAACAGGGATGCTCCGAGCAGAGTGGCATGCTTCACTGGAAACAGCACGGATAGTGAGCATACTTTTGATCTTTTCTCCAGGCTATGCCGGTGTCGTGGGTAATGAACAGACAGATTAGCTGGATCTGCACCAGTCGATGGTAAACTGATGCATGACAAGGCAGATATGGTCAATGCCCTTTGGAAACAAGCAACGGAATTGATAGAGAAACTAGATGTTTATGGCCTGCAGAGAATGAGGCACCTGGGTGTAACCAGAGGATCTGGCCAGCTCACTACAATTCAGAGAAAAGGCAAGACGGACATATAACCAGATTGTGACCGGTACCATCTGTATTGAAACTCTGCGCTGGCTGCTGTAGATGAGAGAAGAGCAAGCATGTAAATGCCCCGATGCTGTGATGTCAGTTCTTGACTCAACTCAACTCATTGTGGCTATCCATTTAATTTCAAACATCTGTCAACAGCTCAATCCTTCAGATTCCAGGAGAAAGCACTCTGAAACGAAACTTCCAGCAGATTCAGGAAAGAGAGGTTCGCCGGCAGGAACCATCACCGCGGGCTGCAAGTGGTCATCAGCAGCAGCAGCAACAACAACAGCGACTTAGTCAGCATGGGGCACCAAGACCACTCTCATCCCTTCAAGTGAGTAAGATTTGTTTTTGTGTATGTTCCTCATCATCTTGTAGTTATTAGTATGCAGAACATCACAGCCTCCTGGGAGGAATCTCAGTCCTCTGCCAGTTTCCATTGCAATGTTAAATTCAGTTGTAGTCTTATTCATGATTGGTGTGATGTTGCATCTAAAGTTGTCTACAAGAGGAAGTAACGGTATAGACATACCTTCCTTAGTCATTTCTTGTCTCTTATTCATGGTAGGTCACAGTGACAGTGTTACTGTTGTGGTAGGCACATGTGTAGGCACATTTATCTCTTTATGTATGTTTTCATAGTCAGTGCCTCACACTGCTGCCTGTCTCCAGAACACATGTCACTGTGGCATTCATAGCCAATGCCTCACACTGCTCCCTTTCCCCAGAACACATGTCACTGTGGCATTCATAGTCAGTGCCTCACACTGCTGCCTCTTCCTAGAACACATGTCAATGTGGCATTCATAGCCAGTGCCTCACAATGCTGCCTGTCCCCAGAACACATGTCACTGTGGCATTCATAGCCAATGACTCACACTGCTGCCTGTACCCAGAACACATGTCACTGTGGCATTCATAGCCAGTGCCTCACACTGCTCCCTGTCCCCAGAACACATGTCACTTTGGCAATCATAGCCAGTGCCTCACACTGCTCCCTGTCCCTAGAACACATGTCACTGTGGCATTCATAGCCAGTGCCTCACACTGCTGCCTATCACCAGAACACATGTCACTGTGGCATTCATAGCCAGTGCCTCACATTGCTGCCTGTCCCCAGAACACATGTCACTGTGGCATTCATAGCCAGTGCCTCACACTGCTGCCTGTCCCCAGAACACATGTCACTGTGGCATTCATAGCCAGTGCTTCACACTGCTGCCTGTCTCCAGATCACATGTCACTGTGGCATTCATAGCCAGTGCCTCACTCTGCTGCCTGTCTCCAGATCACATGTCAGTGTAGCATTCATAGCCAATGCCTCACACTGCTGCCTGTCTCCAGAACACATGTCACTGTGGCATTCATAGCCAATGCCTCACACTGCTCCCTGTCCAGATCACATATCAGTTTAGCATTCATAGCCAATGCCTCACACTGCTCCCTGTCTCCAGAACACATATCAGTGTGGCATTCATAGCCAATGCCTCACACTGCTCCCTGTCTCCAGAACACATATCAGTTTAGCATTCATAGCCAATGCCTCACACTGCTCCCTGTCCAGATCACATAACAGTTTAGCATTCATAGCCAATGCCTCACACTGCTCCCTGTCCAGATCACATATCAGTTTAGCATTCATAGCCAATGCCTCACACTGCTCCCTGTCTCCAGAACACATATCAGTTTAGCATTCATAGCCAATGCCTCACACTGCTCCCTGTCTCCAGAACACATATCAGTTTAGCATTCATAGCCAATGCCTCACACTGCTCCCTGTCCAGATCACATATCAGTTTAGCATTCATAGCCAATGCCTCACACTGCTCCCTGTCTCCAGAACACATATCAGTTTAGCATTCATAGCCAATGCCTCACACTGCTCCCTGTCCAGATCACATATCAGTTTAGCATTCATAGCCAATGCCTTGCACTGCTCCCTGTCCAGATCACATAACAGTTTAGCATTCATAGCCAATGCCCCACACTGCTCCCTGTCTCCAGAACACATATCAGTTTAGCATTCATAGCCAATGCCTCACACTGCTCCCTGTCCAGATCACATATCAGTGTGGCATTCATAGCCAATGCCTTGCACTGCTCCCTGTCCAGATCACATAACAGTTTAGCATTCATAGCCAATGCCTCACACTGCTCCCTGTCCAGAACACATGTCAGTGTGGCATTCATAGCCAATGCCTCACACTGCTCCCTGTCTCCAGAACACATAACAGTTTAGCATTCATAGCCAATGCCTTGCACTGCTCCCTGTCCAGATCACATAACAGTTTAGCATTCATAGCCAATGCCTCACACTGCTCCCTGTCCAGAACACATGTCAGTGTGGCATTCATAGCCAATGCCTCACACTGCTCCCTGTCTCCAGAACACATATCAGTTTAGCATTCATAGCTAATGCCTCACACTGCTCCCTGTCCAGATCACATAACAGTGTAGCATTTATAGCCAATGCCTTACACTGCTTCCTGTCTCCAGAACACATGTCAGTGTGGCATTCATAGCCAGTGTCTTTCACTACTCAGTCTCTGACAGATCATCAATAAGGGATCCCATAACCCAGTCTTTCAGGTCTTAATTTTGCCCCCAACCGCTCAGTGGAGCATGGAGCATAAGCCCTTAACTAACCCGTGCCCTGCTCTTTGGGTTAGATTTGGCAACGAAAATGTTACAGTGAGATAAGGTATGGGATCTCAAGAGCTCATTGGTCGCTATGTACGTCATACATGACAGATTATGGTGTTATTTATCTTTGCTTGCCTTATTTGCTGCAGTAATACTTGCGAGGAGGGGTCTCCTTTGCGGGAGACCTGGGTTCGACCCCTGGTAAGGTGATGAAGTTTTTCTGCTGGGGGAAAAATTAAACATCCTAACCTACACAGTCCCTGGCTCATGACCCCCTGTCCACACCGCACTAAAAAGTTGTAAAACAGATAGTAGTGACAGACAGACACAAGGGTGACCACATCTTTGAGCATCTCTTTTGAATCTGCTTCGTTTGTTCATTTCATTCAGCCTGCTTCTTTGGAAGCCTTAGTTATAATTGAGAGACATTTTTACCTTGTTATTTGTTTCGTTGTTCTGGCAGATAGGCTCTGCATGTTTTTTGTTTGTTTTTCGCCACTGGCTTTGTGCTGATGAAAGGTGTTGGTGCTTGGTTGTGAATCATAAAAAGTTATAGTCCTTATAAGGACTCACAAGAGGTTCCACGCTGACAAGTAAGTAGTTCATATTGCTGCTAGTTTGCCATTTGCCTGGGGTGATATTAGATGTCTTGGTTATGTTGAATGTATTTAAGTTTTGTAGTATTTACATAGTCTATAGTGAACAAGGTCTGTTTATCTGCTGCTTTAACTTCTGTCGTTATAGAACTATAATGTGCATTTTTTTCAACAACAGAAGTCCTTTAGTTTTTTTTTTTTTTTTCATTTGTATTTTTTTCTTCTTAAATAAATATAATACCTGTCCCGTTTGCACACTATGCAGTAGAAAACTGTAGAACGCTGTTGTATAGGTGAATCAGTGGCTGCCCACAACAGTGCCAAGAAAAACAAGAAAAGCTGAAAAACCAGTATTTACATGGCATTAAATTATGAGATCGTCTTTGGCTGTAAGTGTATCTTGTTATTTCAGACTGAATGGTTCCGTAGATTAGGCCACTTTTATGCTGTTGATGTTATTCAGAAATAATATTTGTTCATGGCAATAAATATTTATTTATCCTTCCTTCAAACAACACAGTCACAGCCTCAGCAGATACCACCGTACCACCCTCCTTCACTACCCCAGCCTCAACAATTTCCCCACCACCAGCAACTCCAACAACAGAGGCCATCATCTAGTCACTTCCAGTACAAACCTATCACAGTGCCCCAAGAGTTAGCAGGGCAGAAGCTTCCATACTCCATGCAACAACAGCCTTCTCAAGGTAAGCATTAGTGTTTTCCAACGCGGGCTTTCATATTTTCAGTGAAATAAGTATGACCACCCAAAAAAAAAAACAGATATATACCAACACCTGTTACCAGTGCCAAACTTGGACATTATCAAATGCCAGCCTATGTAAAATTAACACCTGTGAAATCCCTGAGGAATGCTACCAGCTTAACTGTCTGAGACAAAGTGAGAAATGACACTGTCAGACAGACTGGGAACAATACCATGCACCAAATTAATTGAGAAACAGAAGATTAGATGGTTCAGTCATTTCGTTAGAGTGCAACCAGAACAAGTACTAACACAGACACTAGTCATGGAATGATCTGATTTAAAAATAAGAGAGCACGCTAGGAGATTATGGATTGATTACACTAAAGAGCTTCTACATCGACACAGAATGACAGTAGTCATTGTTACCTATCAGGCAAAGGATTGCAGACTGTTCCTCCCCACAACGCTTCACAGCAAAAGTAAAAATTTATGACTTTGCTAACTCTGATATCTGTATGGGGTTCTTCATGATGAAGTGATCAAACTTTTTGCCTCACCCTCTGCATGTGAGTGTCATGGGTTCAGTTCATGACAGAAGATATTATAGATATCCCCATGGAGCATCACTGGAGCCATGGAGCATCACTGGAGCCATGGAGTGTGTGCTTTGTGCACCATTCCTTGCAGGTGACTTGCCATTCTGCAGAGAGAGATTAAACTATATAGGATAACATGGGGACGTGAAGTCAGTCTCTCAGCCTTAACTTTCAGTCTCTCAGCCTTAACTTTAGTATTTGCGGGGGGGGGGGGTTCTTTTTCAAAGAACAACATTCCGGGGTCATTAACTTGTGGTATGTGCCTGTACACGAAATTAATAACATTGAAAGGCCATTGACTTCTAGTATTTATCTGTTTATATGTTAAATTAACAACCTTCCAGGGTCATTAACTCTGAGTATATGTCTGTCTGTGTGCAGATTAACAACATTCCAAGATCGTTAATTCATAACATGTATCAGTTTGTGGGGTGGCTGTGGCTGAATGGTCAAGTCATTTACCGTCTCCTCTGAGGGTCATGGGTCTTTTCACAGACTGTGTTGTTTGGTTCACAAATGCAGTGTTACAATTCATGAGGATAATACGCTGGAGCTGCTATGTTCATGATTTGTGTGTCTCTCTCAGCAAATAGCTAGCCATTCTGAGGATAGAGAGAGAGAGAGAGAGACCCAGCTAAATGAGATTTAATCTGATGCAGAGAAGTTGATTTTCTTGACCTTGACTTTTAAAATTTTCTTTTTGTTTGCTAAATTAATATTTTAGGGCTAATAATGTTTTTCTGGATAGCATTTATTCTCGGCTTTGGTCAGCATTAAGTTTGAGCTGAATTTTCTTTTACTGTAACATCTTTACCTTAGAAGACAGGAGGGTGAAAAGGAAAGAAAGATAACAGTGTTCATTGTCTGAGTCCTGTTTTGTTTTGTTACTTGCAGCCATGCCTGACCCAAAGCCAGTGGGTATTGCAAGCAACAGCCAGGCCTCACACCATCAGCCTCCAGCAGTCAGATCCTCGGGATTGTTTGGTGGATCTTCTGGAAATCGATCTGATGTAAGTGTTTTCTCTGAGTACATTTATAAATATGATTTGATTCTTTCTTTCTGCCATGTTTTCAGTAATTTTTGGCATAATTTAAATACTCAAAATTTTAAAACAATAAATGGTGGTCCAAAGGACGTTGTGTATGGAAGCTCGCTCTCCTTCGAGATACGCCTAGCCAGATCAAAGGGAGACAGAACAAACAGGAAACACTGAGAGAAAGAAGAAGGAAAGTTCCCCCATGCACCAGTGACAACAGGACGAGCGGTTTGATTCGGATGGAAGCATCAAGCCCAGAAATGGCACAAACACTAAAATTCAGTCACGAAAGTGACGCAAATAACCCAGACCACAAATATAGGCGGAGACTGCTAGTAGCCTAGGCTAGCTAGCAGCAGTCTGAACGTGGTCAAGCTTTTCTTTTTTTTTTTTTCTCAAAAGGACTTGGACTCTGCCACTTCTGTTCAGTATAAATATGATTTCTATCTTTTCATTCTGACCCCACTCTCCTTCTATAGCTCATCCTCCTTATATAATAATAATGATTTCAATCTTTCTTTTGCCACCTCTATTTTATATAAATATGTTTCCTATCTTTTCATTCTGCCACCATTCTCTTCCTCTTGCTCTTCCTCCTTTTTTTTTTTTTTTTAATGTATCCTGTTTTAAATTGTAACATTGTCTGTTTATGTCGTATGCTGATAAAGTTTTTTTTTAGCCACAGAGTTCACTTGACTTTTGTTATTGTCATTCTGTCAGGCCAATGTGTTTTAATTTTTTGTTCTGTGTTCATGATACCCTTTGGGTACTAATGCTTCTCCTGAAATGGTTATGTTGTCCTCTTTCTCTGTAAAAGTGTCATAATGTTTTTATCGGTTGATTAATTTCTTCATTTTTTTTTCCTGCTGCCTTCGTTGGTTGATTGATTTAATTAAGTCACGACTTGTAGTTTAGGAGCTAGCCTTTGGGTACTAATGCTTCTCCTGAAATGGTTATGTTGTCCTCTTTCTCTGTAAAAGTGTCATAATGTTTTTATCGGTTGATTAATTTCTTCATTTTTTTTTTCCTGCTGCCTTCGTTGGTTGATTGATTTAATTAAGTCACGACTTGTAGTTTAGGAGCTAGGAATAGTTTCATAATTCTGACATACCAATATTTGAAGTCAGCTGCAGACACTTTGGTAGTAGACCACTTTTTGTGTTTATTTCAACTATGGACAGAGTTTCATACCATGCAGAAAGCAATGGCAAACTACTGAACATAAAATTACCTTTTCAAACATGACAGCCAACAAATTTTGGGTTTGGTTTTGAAGTCCTGTAAAAGGATATGCAACTAATGTTATGTTTTGTTTTATTTTAATAAATCAGAGTACAGTTTCTCCTCGACTTAAACCTTAGCTTCTTATGGCCATTGACAGATTTTATATATCTGGGGAGCATTTTTTTTTTTAGGAGACGGAAGAATTAATAAACGAATCCAACAAAGATGCAAAAAAGCTGATCAAGTTTTAGACCAATTTGTAAGTGCAAGCATGTGAATATGAACACTAAAAGAACACTATTCAACACAGTATTCTTACCACTGCTGTGCTTTCAGTGCCAAACATGGACACTGGCTTCAGAAGATAGAAGGAAAATAGTCATGACAGAAATGAAATGTTTACATACACTGCTAGGTGTAATGAGGAAAGACTGACTTAGGATCAAATATCAGGAGGAGAATTGGCACAGAACCAATACTGAACTTTATAGGTAGACAACAAATCAAATGGTTTAGCCATGTGAGTTTGGCACCAGACGGGGCACCACAGAGAGCAGTATTATACAGATACAATGGTAATAGAGCCAGATGTCAACCACACAGAAGATAGATCACATAAATATCAGAGACACTGAAAAATACTTTATACAAAACGAATAGAAGGGCCTGTTCCAGTGATCTCTACCTGCCCTGATAATGTGAGGTATTCCAGAAGCAGAGAAAAGAAGAGGAAGACCATTCCTGCTCTGACCACCAAAAACAATTTATAAATAAATGTAACAGATATGGAAAAAGAAATAAAACTACATTGGTAGGTCAAAAAGTTCCCAAAACTAATGTGATAAAGTACATACTATGATAGACCTACATAATATACAATAATTATACGTACATAGATTAAATGTTTATACTTTAATATACAATTTCTGTAACCAGTGTGAATGAAACTAGTGTTGAAAAATATAAATTTCACTAACGAATCAGAACTAACATTGAGGAGACCCTGCATGTATCTATTTGGTTTGGTTTCTGTATAGGATCTTGACAGATTAGCTCTTCATCTGAGTAAAATTGGAGCTGAAGAAAGAATTGCCAAAACTGTGGTCTTGGAAGAGGAGGATGAAGACGATGATGACGACGATGATGAAGATGAGGATGGTAATAGAGTTGGGACTCTGCCAGCCTCTGGACCAGCCAGATCTTCGTAAGTGATTTGTTGGTATGGTGGCAGTTTGGCTTGTGTTTTTCAGTGTTCCATTTTGGCTTGCCATTTCTCAGTAGTGCTATTGGGTATCTTATTTATCATAATGTCTTTTTCTTCTTTCACCATAAAAGGGCAGTTTGAACTTTTCTGGTAGTTCACAGCTAGGCTGTGATATCTTAGCCTTTTGGCTAAGTACATCTGATTTGAGGGAACTTCTTATTATTTGCGTTTCACAACATGATTGTTAGGGGGCTGTGAATTTATCCCCCACCCTCCCTCAGATGGAGCACTGTAACCCACATGGGTAATTTAGCATCATATAAATTTCACATGTGGCTTAGAAGTTATTAAATCTGTTTCACAATTTCACAACCCTTAAAGTACCAGGGTCAGTTTCTGTTTAAAAAACCATTTTTATGATTTTTGGATGGTGGTAAGAGGTGGAAGGTTGGTTGTGTTCCCCTCCATAGGATTAATACCCGTTCAGCCTGGGAAAAAAAGTTATTAGAGGGGCACCCATGAGGGTCACATAGCCTAGTGTAATCTGCAGTCCCAAGTGGATAGGGGTAAGTCTATCACTGGAAACACGGCAGCCAATCTTAACTGTAGAAGTAGCAGACAGTTCTTTTAAACATTTGCTTGCTGTTTGGAAGAACATTATATTTATGATTGTTGAACATTAATGAAGTAAGATCAAGACTGTGAATTCAGTCTTATTTAGAAATTCCTTTATATTGCAATTATACCCCTATTTGGATCATGTTTGTTCTAGTTAAGTATTTAGATATACATTTATATTGCAATTATGCATTTGGATATATATCCCCATGGTGATTCAGGGGTCCTAGTTTGGGAGAGAAAAGGAATAGATCCAGGTCACTTTAACAAATAAGTTGTGAAAGGAAATATCATTTGCTAAAATCTGATGTTTTGGGCAAAAGGAGCAGATACTACAGCCCAATTGTAAACCACAACAAGTCATTTATATTCAACTTGTTCATTCATTTTGTTAGCATGGCTGGGGGCAAAAGGGTTCACATTATTCATTTCTTCAGGTAGGCATTTGTATTTTAGGATAAATATGCCCCCACCTGTGTGAACAAAGACTTTTATACAAAGAAAAATGTTAGAATAACCTTCCCTGAATACTTTAATGGTAGTTCTGTATTTTAAAAATGTATACACAGCCGTATGCAAATCAATATGTACAGGGCACACGATCGACACAGACACTGTTGTTTGAGAAGATTGGAACTTCTCACTCAACACACACAGGGTTGCTCGGGCCTGAAAGAGTTAAGGGCTTCTATTTTTCTTTGTAATGTTTAATGTTATACATTAGGGGCATCAACTTAGCCCTGTAGTATGAATATCAGAGATTTTTCTGGGAAGTATTATATTGTACTCTAAGGTATATAAATGCTTCGTGTACACAGTTTTTCTTCTAGTTTGTCACTACAAATTTTTTTAAAGAAAGATCTAGAAATATGCCTGTCTATATCTTTTATAAATTAAAGATACGGCAGAAATATGTTAACCTACACATATAAGATAGTCGACTACTTTGTAATCATAGGTTACCCCAATGCAACTGTTTTAAATGATTGAACAGGGTTTCTGGGATTTGCAATTGAACAGGGTTTCTGGAATTTGCAATGATTGAACAGGGTTTCTGGGATTTGCAATGGTTGAACAGGTTTCTGGTTTCAATGGTTGAAGGGTTTCTGGAATTTGGTTGACAGGGCTTCAGGGTTTCAATAGGTGGAATTTGCAATGGTTGAACAGGGTTTCTGGAATTTGCAATGGTTGAACAGGGTTTCTGGAATTTGCAATGGTTGAACAGGGTTTCTGGGATTTGCAATAGGTTTCTGGAATTTGCAATGGTTGAACAGGGTTTCTGGAATTTGCAATGGTTGAAGAGGGTTTCTAGGATTTGCCTCTGTTGGATTTGCATACGAAAAATGAATATTTGAGTCACTGGGTCTCACTGTCAGGCAGCAATCCTAGCAGGGAGAAATTTGAGGAAAAACTAATTTTAAAATGTATGGTTATTTCATTTATATTTTCTTAGCAGTCATCCGTTTTCTCATTATGTATTCTTCTGTAATCTGTATTTATAGTTAACTGCTGCTTTGCCTGTTGCGTTCATTCATTCATGTTCTGTGTGTTTATTTGTCTGTTTAAATTGCCTATGTCTTTATGTTTCAGACATGTAGCAAATTTTGGCAAAGACAGATCTGAAGGCCTCTCATCTCTAATAATTCACCAAGGTAGGTATTCATTTTTTATTCTCTGTTCACCCCTAGAAGGATACAGTGGAGTCTGGATAAGTAGAAGTTACAGGGACCTAAGGAAGTTGTTGTGCTTATCAGGAATTCTACTTATCCAAATAGATGTAAAATCAAACAAAAATTAGATCAGCGAGCTTCCCAATATAACAAACAAGAAGAAACAAACGTGAACGTTGAGGCTATAGAGCCTTCATCAGCACATACATAAATCGAACAAATCCACAAGAATAGACATAATCACTTTACTGGGTATCCAGAAGCAGCCATGTTAATGTCTTGCCAGATAGCACACATATTACAGAGTGTACATAATAATATGCAGTAGCATTGAGTAAAACAACTGTACCCCTTTCTAACATTATTAGTAAACAAATAAATAGCAATTTATTGTCAGAAATGTCGAAATATTTAATACACTTATCAGATTCAAAAGCCAGCATTGCTAACAAATATAACAAAACATCAGAAGAGAAAACAAATCAATTGAATATCTACAGAAAACATTACAGAAAAAATTGCTAAAACCTCACCTCCATCCCCCCAACCATAACACAATTTATTGTGTACTAGACACAATCACAGGGAAAAGACAGTTTTGTGGCAGTACATAAGATAAACTATAAAAAGGGTGGGAAGAGCAAATATAGTGGCAAGAAAGAAGAAGAATGAGACACAGGAGAGCGTAAGGAAGATAAGGATATCAGATGAGAGGGAGAGAAAGGGAACAGGAAGAAGAGAGAGGGGGCAGGAAGGAGGAGAGCGATAGAACAGAGTGGGGATAGATAGGGAATGGAGATGATAAGAAGGGGGAGGGTGGAAAAGGAGAAGAGAGGTAGAAAAGTCAAAGAGGGAAGGAGCAAGAGCAGAAAATAGGGAAGATATAAGAAGAGTTCGAACACTGATCACCAAACAGCCCAAACACATTGTAAACAAGAGCGGCGCCAAAAATAGAATGGAAAAATTTAATTGATGTCATGTTATGGTTGCCCACCTCCTTCTAATGTGAACCTAGAAATAACTGAATGCTAGGTGACCGCTCCTGCCTGTGCGTGGCTGTCATCGTGTAACTGTGGTCTGCAATAGTTCCATTTCTTATACAGCTTGCTTTTTACCAACTCTTCTAATGCACATCACAAAGAGCGGACACGTGAAAATGGACAGTTCAACTTAAACATCACTGCGTTTATAGGCCGTTTTTATTTTTAGATTGACTAATCTGAATATTCAAGTTAACAGAATTTGACTTATCAGGATTTTTTTTTTTTTTTGGGTACAAACTATAGAAGGAAACTGGCTGGGATTAAACTGATTGTGTCGACTTAAGCAAAGTTCATCTTATCAGAGACCAACTTAAGTGAACTCAACTGTATTTGGTATTACATGCTGTGATTTACAGCCAGGCTGCAGTATCTATCCATTCATTAGTTGATTTTTTTTTGGGGGGGGGGGGGGAGGGAAGGGGGTGCGGTAGGTATCAGTGGAAGCGGCTGGCCTAATGATTACGAGGAACACCATGCTGTCATGCAGGAGATCCAGTTTGAATCCTTGGTAAGGTTGTGGATTTTGTCTATGGGGGGCAAAAATGAAATCCTAACCTGTACAGTCCATGATGATAGCAGCAGCCATGCAAACCCCCCCCCCCCCCCCTCCTTCTGTCCCACTGCAGAAATGGTAATATAAGCAGAATTTTTTTTTTCTGCAGTAGGTGTAAGACACCCCTCCGGGGGCATGGGGTCTTCAGTATGAGAATTTAGGTCTGGTTAGCTACCGCAGGTGCATGAACTCTGCGGGTTAAGGTGTTAGATTTTGCAGCTGCAAAAAGTTTTCATTCACAAACAGGTTTCTGACCCAAATCTTCCAAATAAGAGCCCAGTGTTCTAACAACTGGATGGACCACTCCTTGTTAGGACTGTCTTTAAAATACTGGCAGTTCCTTAAACTTTACTTTAAATGCATTCAGAACTGTATGTCACTTTGCATTGTGGTACACATGATCACAGATTTATTTCATTTATATTGAGTTGTATGCATTCTGACATGTACCTTTAATGGCAGGTGGTACACACATTCACTGATTTATTACTATTGTAATGTTATTTGCATTCTAACATGAATTTCTCACTGCATAGTAGTTCCCAAATGTGCTGATTTATTCCACTTTTGATGCTCTTTCCAGATGCTGCACACCGCACACCACAACCGGATCTAGCCAAACTCAGGGTAAATGATAATGATGGAGAGGGTACTCTAGTTGCAAGGCGTGTGAGTAGCATCTTATGTTTCTCTATCCGTGTGTCTTCACTTCTGTATTACAACAGCCTCAGAAGACTCTTCTACCTCTGCCCTCTATCCCCAATGAAGTATCGGCCCTCAACTAACTCACACTAGCTCATTCTGTCCTTCTCTGTCGCATGCAGCTCACCAGCTGTCCTTCCCAGGACACTTCACTCTCTAGCTCCCTTCTCCATGTGTTTTGTTTGTCTGACAAAAGACTCAGCAAGATGATTTCCATCTGGCTTGCTACACATATTAGTTGTCCGTATAGCATCTTTTGTTTTGTCTGACAAAAGACTCAGCAAGATGATTTCCATCTGGCTTGCTACACATATTAGTTGTCCCTATAGCATCTTTTGTTTTGTCTGACAAAAGACTCAGCAAGATGATTTCCATCTGGCTTGCTACACATATTAGTTGTCCGTATAGCATCTTTTGTTTTGTCTGACAAAAGACTCAGCAAGATGATTTCCATCTGGCTTGCTACACATATTAGTTGTCCGTATAGCATCTTTTGTTTTGGCCTCTAATTACAATTTCTCTAAAGCATTATCACACCATCTGGTCTGATATTATCTATACATATATTCACACACACATATATGCGTGCACGCATGCATGCATGCATATGCACACACACACATGAATCAGAAATTGACATCACTGCTCTCAGGACCTTGTTCCATTTTCTTTTCTTAGATAGTAGCTTTGTTTGCCTTTGTGTTGTTTAGCTTTTCTTAATCATTGAACAGTTTTATAATAGTAAAACAAGTCAAGTAGTTCTATTCACCTACCTTTTGAAGGGTTATTGTGGAGGGGATGATAAGCCCATCAGTTGAGAGTTTTACAATACACATCTCCACTCTCCCAGAGGTAATCTCTGGGATGATCCTGATTGAACACAGATATGTACCAATGAAGGAGAATTATTATTCTTGCTGAGTATTGAACTGCAGATCACTGTATTCTTAAACCAGTGTACTAACCGAGTACCTGGCCAAGATGGCGGCGTAAACAACGTTCACCGAAAATTGTGACTAAAAGATGTGTTTATTCCTGGAAAGAATGTTAAATGTGTTAGATTAGTGTAATTGTTCAGTTGAAGATGAATTCGCGACAGGCCCAGCAAGTCGGCGGAGGATTCAGCGGTTCAAAAAGAAATGCCCAAGATGAAAATAGGAGATGTTTTAGAAATAGGGAAAATAGAGGCCAGCAGAAGGTTAAGACCAGGGTAGGGACAATCAATATATGTGGATGGGGCAATAAAGAAGAACAAGTGATAGAATTAATGGAGAAATATAATGTTAAAGTATTAGGCTTATCAGAAGTGAGAATGAAAGGACGAGGAATGAACAAACTACATAAAAATTACTTTTTGATACAATCTGGAGTAGAAATGCAGCATGCAAAGCATGGAGTAGGATTTGTCATCCATCCCGAAGCTGCAAAAAATATACTTGAAGTTAACTACATCTCGGAAAGAATTATAAGTTTGAAATTACAAGTAGGAAATAGTTCAGAGGTGTTTTTTTTCCAGATATATGCTCCGTGCAATGGAAATTACAGTGAAGAGGATTTAGATCAATTCTTTGAGGACCTGGATAATGAAATTTGTAAGATTGATAATAACGAGAAACTGATCGTGATGGGTGATTTTAACGGTAAGACAGGACGAGACAGAAGAACATTCACAAGATACCTAGACAATTATGGAGACAATAGCATTAGAAATAAAAATGGCGAAAGACTGTTGGATATATGTGCACAGTATGACCTTGTTATTACCAACACCTTCTTTCAACAAAGAGCTTCACAAGTTTTTTACATGGTATAAATGGAATGATCCAGATACCAAAAGTCAGATTGATTACATTTTGACGAGAAAAAGAGACTTTCATGACGTTACAGATGCGAGAGTTATACCAAACTAGTTTAGATACAAATCATAGGATGGTGATACTTGACAGAAAAGTCAAGATAAGTTATTAAACAAAAAAGTAATGTAATAAATGTGACATAATAAAATGGAAAGAACTAGAGTGTGAGGAAAATAGGCGAGCGTTTCAGCAAAAATTACAGGAAAATTATGAACAGCTTCCACAAAACACAAAAGTGGACACTTACATCCTTCAATGAATGTAAAATTGTGACAACAGAGATGAAATGCCTTAAAAGAGCTGCAGGAGTTTCATGGAAAGACAGAATACAAAATCATGAAATCAGACGAATGCTAGGAATAAAGCCAGTCTTACAGGTCATCAAAAAACAACAAATGAAGTGGTTTGGACACCTAGCAAGAATGCCCTGGTACTATCCACCACAGCAAGCCACACTAAAACGTTACAACGGGTATAGAGCGAGTGGAAGACCTCGGAAAAGATGTAGTGATGGCATTAAGAACAGCCTTACAGAAATGAACATCAGTCTTAATAGTGCTCTTGACAGAGCTCATCAACCAACATTACATCTCCCCCGACACTTCGATGAGGTAAAAGGTGGAAGATAAGAAGAAGAAGTGTACTAACCAGTACTAACCATCTCTGCCTGATTAATAGCGTATTTCAGAACTCTTGAATTCTGATTGAAGCATGCATGCAATGGCAGTTAATACAATATAAGAAGTTTTTTTTATAGTAAGGGTCTGAAATTGTTGTATTTTGTGTGTGTTTATCATTGGATATGTCCATTGTTTAACTGACATAAACTGTTTTAACTGTCATAAACTGTTTCAATTGAGAACTGTGACACTGATGTTTTCTTGTCTGTTGTTGATTTAGTTAACTTACACACTCAGCCATACCCATCTCCTCCACATATAAACATACATTCCTCATATCTCTCTCATATGTCTTGTCCCTTCCTCTTCAGTCTTTACTGCCCAAATCTATCACAATTTAGGGCTGTGTGTGGCGGGGCAGGGGGGGGGGGAGGGGGCTTGAGCTTGAGGATTTAGTGCCACATGGCTAGTGCGGTTTGCCATGAACTGTGCAGGTTGGGATGTTAATTTTCACCCTGGCAGAGGATTTCTTCTTTTTTGCACGCATTGGCTGTAAGGTTTTTGTTGTTTGGTCACTCTAGACTTTAATCTTGTTTCAGAACTTGAATTTATTATGCACATCAGTTTTACAGATCTGGTTTATTGTGTGCATATTTTTGGTTTCTCGCCTGTCAATCATATGCACTTTGACATCAAAGGAAGCACCCCTAATTAGTTTACTTGTATGACTTTTTGGGTAAGCCACCAGGAGTGGTTGTGGGTCTATTCTTTGCTCTCATATGGAGTATTTGTCATTGTCTGTATGATAGATGAAGTATCACTGAAAATGGCTACACCACATGGCTTAACTTCTGTAAGATCAAATACACATGTAACAGATCAGTTATAGTTCTTATTGCTTTATATTTTAAGCATTTTTCACCACAAATAAAGCTCAGCCTTGGTACCTTATGTAATTGCCCTTCAGCTGAAAGGAGATGCTGCTTAAATCTGAACCATCACTGTAAGCCTAGATAGTTGTGCTAGGTTGATTTTAGTGTCTAACTACAGGTCTTTAGGTAAAAGGTAATCTCAGTTCCAACTTCAAGCAGAATGTCCATCACAGACCCTTGTGACAACATTTAAAACATAATGCAGTATTAGCAAATCCAACAGCATACAAGTGCATAAAGTAGCAGTCAGGAGTGCCAATACAGAGTCTGAGACTAGAAATGCTGTTCATCATTGGTTGAAGCAACAGTTACAGTAGATAAGTAGCTGCAAACTCAGTTAATTGCATAAGGCACCACAGGTTCTCTGGCAGTAGGCCACTCATCATTTTCAGAATCTGCAGTTCACACCTCAAGGAAACCATATTCTGAATGAAATTCTATTTGTGCTATCAATAGACTGGATTATAAAGACAGCAACCATTAACACCAGGAATTGAATAGTAAACTATGGACATTTTTTAACTGGTACATGCGCAGAACAGAGGAAATTAAATGATATGATAGAATCACTAATGTTGAGCATTGGGAGAGAACAGAGGAGAAGAAAAGACGCTGACATTGGATAGGACAAACACTGAGAAAATGTGAGGACAATATAACTTGAATGTCTTTGCTCTGTGTTTACAGTGTTGTGATGTGCACTCAGCACAGTAGCTGGGTGATGGAACTATATCCTCTCAGTCTACATATGGAGAAATACAACAGCTAACTATTGTCAGAAGCAAAAACTGGCCTCAACCAAAAGTACTAAATTGCCTATCTGCCATATTGACTGAAGGTCTTTAGTACTGTAGGAAGTGACCTTTTGTTGAATGCTCTTTCAAGTGGTTACGTTATTTTTTGTTTTTGTGTGTGTGGAAAGTGAACGTCTTCAAAAAGTGAGGGGGTAGGGACAAAGGAGGGTTCTGTTGATCTTGGCATTATCCTGAGTGGAATTTGTATGAATAGTTCAGATAATAACTTTATCTGCAAATAAACACTGATAAATAAAAGTCACATCACTAATTAAGAGTAAGAAAATGTTGCTGCTTAAGGAGGGGGTCTTGGGGGAATCTTTCTTTGAGGGACTTCTTGTATGAAGTTGTGCCTCTCTATATGGTAAATATTGTTATGTTAGTCAAGAAAATCCACGTGACCATTCTCCACCCTATTCCCATTCTTATCTTAAAAACAGAGACCTTTGCTGCAGATTTCTATAGGCTTGTTAAAGATCAGTGACAACAGTTTGTAAGTGGTTCCATAAGTCACATTCTGTCAACTCCATTGATAAGTTTGTTGGACTAGTCTACCATGGTAGAGGTTATGGGTGTCGCAGCCTGTTGTCTTGCATTTACGTTCTTATTTCCAAAAAAAGAGACGGCCTGTGACATAGGTTTTGTCACTCTCTAGGGGGGTTGTGTGTTAGACCCAGTATCTAAATGTTTTAGAAGTGTTAAAAGCTTTGGCATGGTGAAATATCCAACACGCGGTATCCGGGCAAGTGCGAAATATACCCGTAA